TCTTATCTGCTAAAGATGCTACATGCTAACACATGTTGTCTTATCTGCTAAAGATGCTACATGCTAACACACGAGTCCAGCGTTGTTTGTAAGAGAGGAGTTTTACACCTGTGAATTTTTTAGTGGACTTAAAATTAGTGGAACCTAATTTAGAGGAAGCTAACTGGTCTGCTAAARTTTTACAAAGTTATCAAAAAACTTTAGAAGCCAGTTGTGCTATTAGCAGGTTATCAGAACTGTGCCCACCACTGCCCCCGGTGTCCTGGAGGTGCAGTTTCACAGCTGAGTGTCTTTAGATAACTGCCCCCCGTCCTGTTTTGTCCCCTCAGGAGCGTCTGACAGTCGAGGCCCCGAAGAGACACAAGGTGTCCGTGCACGTCCTGTCCAGAGAGATGGACTACTGTGAGTATCTGAGGACACAGGTGTGCTCCGTCTCTGTGAGGTCTGTAGTTTGAAACCCGTTGATGTGAAACAGGTCCGATCGTCGGAGAGTTTCCTGCTCGGAACGATGTCAACCTGGCTCCCGCACCTTCCCTGCCGCAGGTAATCCACACCTGTTTCCTCCTGCTGATATTGCTTGTTTTAACCCCGCCCCCTCGGGCTGAACTTTGACCTCTCTGGTTGTTTACCTCCCGTAGCCCACGTTGGTTCAGGACATCACAGAGTTTAAGAGGAGCCTCCCTCTGTTCCCTCTGGTGAAGCCTCACATCAACTTCATGTCTGCCAAACTGTGAGGGGGCGGAGCCTGCTGGTCCACATCCACCGCCGCGAGGTGGGAGGGGGGCGGGCGGTGCCATATATGCCCCTCCCACTCTGTTTCTCAACAATAACCCCACAAACCTTCATCTGCTCCTCCCACCAGGAAGCTGTTGGCCTGATTGAGCGTGTGTGTGTGTGTGTGTGTGTGTGTGTGTGTGTGTATGTGTGTGTGTGTGTGTGTGTGTGTTGCAGCCACAGTTTGAACCCCACAGGTAGCCCTTGGTTGTTTAATAGTCTCTGACGGGGGTCTCGTCTCGTGTTTTCCCGCCCGCCGTAGAGGAAGTAGAAAAAGGGGCGGAGCTTGTCAGATCMGTGGGTCGGTCCTCGTCGGAGCGGCCGTAGCTTTGTGACGTTTTTATGATTTTAAACTTTGCGTTGCTGGAATGTGTCGGAGCGCGGCTGTAACCACAGGAGGAAACATTTCAGAGGCGCGCTCGTTGTTTTTATCAGGTTTTCCAGCAGCTCAGGGGTTAAATCCACGCTGTCGTTATTTCCTCGGTGTGCGACCWTGTTGTAAACACACACACACTGTGCACGTGACACTTCCTGCAGCTCGTGCCTTTTAACCTGGGGGGTGGGGACCTGACCCCCCATCATGAAATGCTGAATGTGCTCTGGTTCTGGTTCTGGTAAAGGAACATTCTGGTCGTTTTAAAGTGGGGTTCTGTGAGAATCTAGTAACAAATATCTTACCTGTTGCAGGTAGCTTCATGAACAGGTTGTTTCTGTTTGACGTCGGGGCTCGTTGCTGATGTCGTTCCACCCCGACGTTGTGCCGTAACACGGCTCTGCTTCAGACCAGGTGGTCCAGACAAACAGCTGATTAACGGACTCCAGCAGAACTTTAGAACCCGATGAGGACGGTTGGACCAGCAGGTCCTCGAGGACCTGGATTAAAGACCACCAGGTTAGCTTAAAGATGGCAGAGATCTGCTCTGGACCTGGGTCTGTTCTGGACCTGGGTCTGCTCTGGTGGGCCATTATTAGCTCATCAGTACCGCTGGTTTGGACCTGGTCCCAGATTGGAAACAAATCTTTTAATTTCACTAATATTAAAATCTTACAGCCAGATTYGTCTCCAGCCTGCTACTGCTAGCTGCTACTTTGGTCTTGTTTGGACCAGGCGTTGGATCTTARTTCTAACAGGACTGAAAAGTTGTTTCTCAAAACTTGAGTTATTTAAAGAGTTATCTGCAGCAGGTAAGATMTTCTTTAAGCTTCTCACAGAACCTCCCTTTAAAATGGYTGAAGTGTCCCTTTAACGACGGCTCTGATGTCAAATGAGCTTTAAAAAAGCTCTAATCTAGATTGTTTTAACTTTATTTCTGAAAATATGCACATTTCTGAGCAATAAACAGAATGTTCTGGAGGGTTCTGATGTGGTTCTGCTTCTGAGAGTCCGGTCCGTTCTGAGGGTCCAGCAGGGCGTGGTCTCTTCAAAAACTTTATTCTTTTTATTTTTTTAGTCTCACAGCAGAAACCGGGTCCGAACGACCAGAACCTGTATGATTGTGTGGAAGAAAAAAAAAACAAAGCTCCAACATTTCAGATTAAAAGCGTGACTTCCTGTTTGACGATTAAACTCCTTCATTTCATTTCCTGGTGGTGAAAACCCAAAGACGAGCAGCAGCAGTTAGCGTTAGCACTTCCTTCGCGCCCACAGGCAGCAGTTTTCAGTGTTTTAGAGGAAACATATCAGGCGCGGCTCGGTGACAACAGGTTTGTTTTAGGATGTAGTTTTTTTTTGTGAATGTTTTGGACCTGATTGTTTTTGTCTGGTTGGTTTACGGGACATGAAGAGTGCTGATATTTTAAGTTTGGTCTTTTAAAGTCTGTGTGTTTCTAAATAATAAATAAGTAATAAATTAAACCATGTTTGTTGTTTTTGGAAAAAAAATATTTATTTATAGATATGAAGCAACATGTTTATACAGATTCTGAAGACATGAACCAGTTTGTTCCACGTTTACCTTTTTTTTTTTTTTTAATTAAATGAAGATTTGCTTAAATTTGTTCCCAGCAAATCAAAATTAAATGTTTCAGTTTGAAAAGTGTGAACRCTTTTTTTCCACACGACCACGTTTTGGACATTTTGAAATGTTTTGTTGTGGAAGTTTTAGCCAAACGGTAACTCAGTCCATCGAGTTATCTGCTGCAGGTAAGATATTTACTCATGTTTCTTTACCGCTCACTTCAAAATGTCCAAAACAACCTGTTTAAGTTTTGTTACAACTCAGATTTTTATTTTCATCTTTTAGCCAAAATAAACAGTTCTGATTTGACGTTTCTTCTCRTTTGTTTATTTACCGTAATAAGTTTTTTTTTTACGTAAAGTTGTGTCGTTTCACAGGAAGTCCTCCAGAGAAATTCACTCCAGATGAAAGAATCAGTTGCTCCAAAACCAGCCAGTTGTGTTCAGAGGGGCGTGGCCTAATCCAAAAGGACCTCCCCTTTGTGCTTTCCAGAGGCCAGAGCTGCAGTCTTTCAAAATAAAAGTCTGATATTCTGAGCCGGAGCTTCAGAACAGAACAGCTGCAGATTAAATAAACACTTAAATATAAAGAATTAACTCCTCTGAGTTTATATTAKTTCACAGTCACAACTCCTCTTCCTGGTTTTAGTTAATTTGCTGCGTCATAACTTTTATTTTCTCAAACATTCACACTTAACTTAAAAAAAAAAACCAGGAATAAAGTTTTAATGTGGGCAGAACAATTATTGAATCCTTTATAAAACTCTTATATGACACGTCTGTGTTTTAATTTAAAATGGAGCCAGATGATGTTTGTATGATTGGAGCCTCTCAGGGCAGCGGACGTGTCTAACTGCCAGCATGCTCCAGGAAGTATCCAGCGCCGCACAAACCTCCACTTTCAGAAACAACTGGCGGCTGTGGGGGGTGCTGTGTGTGTCTGCAGTCATGATGTGGGGCGGGTGATACGGTAACAGAAGCCCCGCCCCCCTCAGGCTCGGCCCCGCCCCTCAGGCCTCCTCCTGCTCAGGGAAGTTGAGGATCTTGCGGTGGGCCTGCCTCAGGTACTGCTGCTGTTTGAAGTAAACCTTAAACGCTCCTTTGATCGCCACGAAGGCGATGCCCCCCTGCAGGAAGAGACCAGGTGTGAAGGACGAGCCGAAGACCTGTTCAGGTCTACATCAAAGTTA